GTTTGGACAGGAATGATCGAGTAGAAGGACATTAAATGCACATCACATGCCGTGTAATATGTCACTGTAGAATAGAAAAATGTTTAATAATTTTTGATTATCATTTTTATAGTTGTCAGTCGTGTTTTTGTCGTATAAAGTAAGTTCAAATTAATCGGAGCAATAACTACACATATTTCTTTTACTTATACTTAACTATCAATATTCTCGTAAGCACTTTTTCACACTAAACGTCAAGATGAATGAAACTCAACACCAAACTGAAGACGTAATCCAGACACAAAATTACAAAAACTTTTTTTTGTTATACACAAACAGGTTTGTTTTAACTTTTGGTTTTGAAGCTGTTAATCGAAATTTAAAAATAAGCATCTACACTTTACACAATAAGGGAATTCATGAGGATACTTGATCAAGGAAATAGACTAAATCGTAGGCAAGATGTAACAAAATACTTACACATAATCAAAACTAAATTAGGCAGCTATTGTATACATGTGTGTGTGTGAATTGTGATTATTTGACTAAACATAAAAACAATATGCGGGACAGACATATGGACGGAAACCCGTATTTGATTAATTACTTTAGATTAATAACAACCTCTAACATTTTTTTTCAGAACAATCACAGGTGTTTCAAATTTAGCAAAGTCTGTACTTAATCAAAAGGAGAAATAGTTAGGTATATTTAAATACCCGAAATCAGTGCTATCAGCAACCTTAAACTGACCTATTTTAGTCAATATGGTCAATAGCATCTCATTCGCTAGTAGTCCTTCTGCGGATATCTATATAACCATATCTACTACTTAATCTTCAATTTATAGTTTACTTAACTAATGTAATAATAACTGCTAAATATGTATAGCATCAGATGATTTCAAGCATCGTTCATCCTCATAAAACAAAAACCTCAAAGAAACGAATTCGTTAGGCATAAAAATATGTCAATTTCAAGATTGATACATCGTGTTAACTATAACAAAAAGTAATGGTATTATTCTACGAACTTCATATACAATACAAGTACATAACTAATACGTCTATGAGTAAACAAAAGCTACATTTACTAGCTATGACAAATCTGAATTACAATCATAACCTTTTACCCAACGCATTCTCGACGCATTCGGCCCAATAAAATAATTCATGTCCAATTTATGTTAATACAATAAATACTGACATAAATAAAGCCAGAAGACAATTTAAATTTATGTAGATTCAGTCTACTGTCTTTGAAGGAGCAACTAGTATTCAAATTGAATGATTTGTGAATATATACGTCGTAAAAGTTAATATATCTATTAGTGAATGGAGTTTAGAAAGTTGAGGGCTATACTGGAGGAAGTTAAGTCAAATGGTCGTGATTGTTGTTCGTTATCTAATATATTGTTGGACTATGAATTCTGGGCAATTATTAATTTTATTATTTAAACACGATGTATATATATTAGATAGGTATGTATATTCATATGCTGACTTTTCTGGGACAATTTGAAATATGGAAACGGTACTTAACATAACAGCACATAACAAACAAACAAGAAGTTACATATACAAACTAAACTAGCTTTTTGCCATGACTCTCATGAATAGATAGAGGCTTTTTCTCGTACTTCTTACCGTGTGCAATATGAACATTTTCAAGAAGATCGACTATGTAGATAAAGCGTAAAGAGGTAAGAACAGGCTAACTTTACCGTCGTATTTATAATACTCATAAATTGGTATTATCTACCTGATTTCTAAAATGAATAAGAGGCGCTTACAAGATAATTCATCAAAGTAGAAGCGATAAGAGTGGGTAGTCCACATTCGTAGCAACTTCGTAGCAGCGGCGTAGCGGTCTTATGCAGTGCTGTTACTTAAGTAAATTATTATATTTACTTTCTCTATGGCCAATCAGACTAAAATGCTTAATTAATTGTGTACATAGTATGTCCGTTTTGTGGTGTATTTAGGACAATAATTTCAAATGGTTCGGTTGGAAAACATTCCAAAGGTAGTCCGTGTCGCGAAGAACCTAACGGGTAATCAGGGCTCCGGCTCGACGTGCAAGAGAAGCAACGGGGTGGTTTTTAGTCAGTAAGAGTCTGACACTCCCTCCCGCCGACACCCAGGCGGGAGCAGTCATTCGATGATTTTCCCCCCTTAAAAAAAAAGGTAGTCCGTTTCATCCGAATAAATATTTTCAAATTTAGACGATCACGCAAATGTTTCCCCGTTGATCCTGCACTTTTCAACTTCCTTTACAAAGAAACAAAGCGGCAATACGCAGTGATATTACCCACAACATCACCATCAACACTGACATCCAAATTGTTGTAAAAATACACCTTATATTTGTTTGGTGCATTTTTGAAATAACACAAAATGTCCAAATGAATGTAGTGAACCGCAATAATAACAATTCCAGTAATTGTATCAAGAAAACGGTTATTTGCAGGGAAAGAGCGACAAACCGACAGATGCTCCCGGCCATCTTGCGGCCGCGACAAAAGTATCGCATGACGCGTTCGTGACTTTGTGGTCACAATGTCGCTATTTAAAATCAAATTTCGGTAATATTATGTCGCCGAAATTGTTCGTAACGACTAAAAGCTGCCACTCCAATATAAATGATGTGATGACGATGTAACTCTTAATACAATCATGTACACTTTTTATAATTGTAGCCAATTATATAATTACAAATTTGTTTTCATTGCACAACAATGTCTCTCGGTATTTAACATGTTCAATGTTCATGTTCATCGAAGTTTACAGCTTCATACAAGTAGATAACAAACGCTTTTTCAAGAGTTATAAAAAACAATATGGGGTATAAGACGAGAAGTTGTGAACCGTGAAATTGCCATCTGTGTCGCGAACACTGTTAAGTGGGTTGCTACGTAGTGTTAGCTATTCGCGACATTTCGTAATCGTTTTCATGTATTTAATAAAAAATATCTTGTATAAATATTTGGAGGCCGGTTTTGTGTTTTTCCCTAATTTCAGGCGAGCATGGTCATAAAAAAATAAGCCAGCCAGGAACAGCAATACAGAGTTTATTAATCAAGTAGAGCGACACTGGGCTCAGTGGCATTTTTCTTGGAGGATGCCGTGTTCATTATTTCCCGGGAAGACGGGCGGTGTGATGAGAAATTAATCCGGGGGTGGGCAGGTGGCCGCCGCAGGTGCGGTGCGCGGCCAATTTGCCGCAACAATAAGCCGACCGCGGAGCGCCAGCCTCTTCATGAGTGCACGCCTAATCCGTGCGTCTACGTCTCCACCAGTCTACGCACACGCTACCTAAACATACCACTTTATGTCTTCAGTTGCCCCTCTTAAGGGCTCTTAAACAACGCTCGGCATCTTTGTAATTGTTTTTATTTTCGGTAGACTTAATGAGGGCTGAAGCATTAGAGTATATTTTACGATACGAGCTCATTTCTTTTTAAACGCTTTTTGTGGAGAAAACTTGCAAACTTTGCAATGTTTCTAAATACCTAAATACAAGAAGATAATTTTTGTAAACGGGTTCCAGCTGCAAAACACTGAAGAAAAGCAGTAGATATGAAGGAAAGCGCACGGAGCTGCGGCGCCCCGTAATCCGAACATATCTCGGTACATTGCTCAGCGCGACACAGCGGGACTTAGCGAAAAGCCTCGCTGCGCAGATGCTTATCTCAATAACAGTTTTATTTATTTTTGCGAGCGGCTGATCCGCTCCCGGCGGATCCGTCTAATGAAAATAGAGGAAGGCGCGCTCACCCGCTAACACCACGCCGCAGCGGAGACGCGCCTGAGACAAATGTGTCTCCGAGCAAGGATTCTAGCACCCGGACAAAACTATTTCTTATTATGTACCTAAGTAAGTATCAACAAATGACTACAGATATAGATTTAGTCGGTTATTCTGCTTGTAGAAGAAAGTTTTGCAGCACTCGTCTGTCTTTGATGTAAACAAACATACCAAATGCGGTAAGTACGCATTCGTCATCAAGAAGTTTTGTTAATTTCTCTTTAAAGCCGCTTGTTACAGGACTGCGACAAAGTTGCGAGAAGACATGGCGCGTTTGAGTTTATTTAGTCGCGCGATTAACGACCACAACTGTCGTAATGCTGACTTGGTATGTCGTAAAACACAGCACATTGCGACGCGACTGCTTAGAACAGAGACGATCGACTTCAAAAATATGTGCTACCTATACGTAGTATGTACTAAGATACACTTTTATGCCCGACCTATTAAAACTCTTCCAGACATTGACCATAGCAGTTTCACTTCACCAAAACACTAAGCTATCATGATTATTTCCTGAGATTGTTTCCATACAAATAATGTTATCATTTCATCGACCCCACAGAATTCAGAGTAGTCATACCTACTCTGGGCATATCACCTTGACAGAACTTATCTACAACAAAAAGAGACCATGAATACATTACGCTATTCCATAGTATTCACACAAAACAGAATAAGTCGACACATATTAAAAGCCAATTCTCTCGGCGACCGCAAACAACGGGGGAGGTGAAAAATCTTGCGGTGGCGAGACGGGCCAGGCGTACCGGTGGGGTCTAATTAGGTCATTTGCCATAATTGCTAGCTCCAGATTGGTTTTTTCGCGTCGGCAGCGTCCCGCGAGAGCCTCAGGACGTTGCCTTGCTTTAATGAACACTTCTAGCACAGAGACACTGGAATAAAAATTCTTATTTTCACAGCGCGGTCATCCGTACTTAGGTTTTTAATTGGCTGTTATTGTGCTACGGTACCTTTAAAGATAATACGATGACGTATATGACTAGAAACGTAATATCCTTAAGGTCTTTTTTTATTCATTCAGTTTATCTACTTGGTGACGATGAACCGTGATTCTGGATCGGGATTGGTGGACGAGAGGCAATGAATCATCCCCTATTGCACGGGACTAAATAAAATTGAGTGATTTCTTCAGAACACTCACTCTTCAAGGGAAATTATTATCTGTACATGTTAACTAAAGAAAAATAAAGAAAAAATTACTTATCATACCTTATCTAAACGATTTATTGGTCATAGTAGGTAAATGATAATTTCAATTAGAACATTTAAAAAATACACAAACGAAACATTATTTAACAGTCTGTCAGTTATGTTGTTCAATGCTACTTATAGAAATTTTGGGTTCAAAAGGTTTGATAATGTTCGGGGCTTAGGAGATCTTTATATTTACAAGGTGGAGCTCGATTCGATGGTTGGTGGAAATTGCTTTTTGAGTTTCTCTCGCTTCCTTAGCTCATCTCTCAGGAGTACGAGGTTCTCGTAATGTTCTGCTGAAGCATCCAGAAGGTCCACACAAACCCTGACTGCGGCTGCCTGACGCTCCCGTTCCACTTCCATCGTAGAGTCCGTCGCTTGGCTCACCGACAGCACCTTTTCTACCATGTCGTCTAACCTGAACGAAATTTCAATAATTAAGATCGTTGTACACAAATACTTATAACACTAATTTGCTTAATGCATGCACCTGATTACTGGCCCATGCAGTACGTTATAGAAAGCACTGTGTAAACTTGGCCTTATATTTTTTAAAGCATCATACGAACGTGAGAAAAATTATGAAAGGATAGGAAACAATATTGGATTCTCTATTGGCTATTTAACTACTAAACGGATCTGAATGCACACAGATGACTTATAAATACCTACCTAAGTCTGAAATAGCACATAGCAAAGCTCGTTGACATTAATAATCGTGGGGATAAAACCACCATACGTCTCCTTGGAACAACCGTGTAAATTCTTTCAGTACCTAAGAGCCCAGTATATAGCAACGTATGTGCCATAAGGTCCATGTGATATTCTGTATTGAGTTCTAATACCACGGAGTACCTACTGATATTAAGTTGATTTCAAGTGATCTGCGACTGGCCGTTGCTTCAGTCTTAACAACATTCCTAAATTGACATACAACAGCTCACAGTCCTTTTGTATTCTGAAATAATAAAGCATTAACTACTTCATCAAATTCAAAATCTAAAATGAAAACAAATAGAGTGAATGTACTTACTTTCTTTTATGGATTTCTAGGTAAAGGCAGAAGAATAGTGTTAATAGGAAGACGATGGCTGCGTTCAGCTGCGGCCAGGTGAGGTCCTGGCTGACGATGTGCAGTCGTGATATCCGCACCTTCGGCACCACGTCCCACACCGAGAACCCCGGCAGTAGCAGTGTTAGTGGTAACGCGAATACCACCATCACTCCTATCACCACGGATAAATCACAATCGCTCTTATCAGTCATCACTTTGTTTTTGGGAGAAGAATATTGAAAAACGTTTGATTTTGAATGACACGTCCAAACAATAATTGACTTATGTACGGCGATCAAAGAGTATAATAGACATAGACGGCGGGAAGCGGCGGGATGACGGCAACAGACTATTAATATGTAACTCAAAGAGTATTATGTATATAGTTAGAAGAGCTTATTATTTCGTACTGACCCAAAACTCTACTATACCACCAATATACCACAATAAAGTTGTACCAAATGATGAATTTTATTCGCAACTTTAGTTTGCATAGGCTCCATAAATGTGAACGAATATGGCAGAAACATCTTATTCGCGTTACGATAAAACATCAAAGAAGCGATAGCCATTTGTAAGGTTTAGTGCCCGAAATTCGCGAGGCAGCAAATGGTCCCTTGTGGAACCTGCGTCCGTCATATGGAGCGAGCCGTCGACGCTCGCGCGGCATATCAATTTCGACTAGGTACACACAATAAAATTGGACGGTCTCCGGAGAGGGCTTAAACGATTCGCCGTTTTGTCTCGGGGCCCAGCTGCGTAATGACCGGAGCAGGAAAAAATTGTCAGCAAGAAAACGCGAGGGTAGTCGGGTTTATGTGCACGCGGCAGCTGGCGGCACCGGGCGGCGACGCGCTCCTAACTGCCTCTGCTTACCTCGCAAAACCCGCGCCAATTTTATTTATCGAAAATATAAACCGATTTGCGGAGGGCCCTCGTAAATTCTGAACGGCTGATTTATGGCGGTTACCAGCCGCGCTTAAAACAAAGTTGCTTCTTAAAGGACTTCCTTACCTATCTATTGCTTCCTTATAAAGACCTGTAATGAAAAACCAGCCGTCCAGATAAGTAAAGAGGCTTATAGATTTTTAAGCAAGAGGAATTCGAGGCATATCACTCCAAAATCTTCCATCATCAGAATTTCAACAACCAATAAACTCTCGTGAGACATACTAAATTAAGTAAAAACGCGGGTTACTCACGTGAATATACTGAGAAAAGCTCTACTAGTTTCGAACCAGCAGCTCACAGTGAGCTGCGCGACGTCGCCGCGACCGCGCACGCTGCTCATGAGGAAGAACCCCTCTGTGGTTCGAAACTAGTAGAGCTTTTCTCAGTATATTCACGTGAGTAACCCGCGTTTTTACTTAACCAATAAACTCGATCACATTCAACAACAATTCAAACCCACTCGAATGACATTCACTTTCTTGTTACCTACTATCTGATACATAAGTAAGTATCCTTAAACGTATAAATCTGGATAGGGTATCGCGTGCCAGTAGAAACTTCCTCGAGGAATTAACAAGCTTGGGGCTGACGGGATTGCAAACAACTCCCCGAGGGCGGTCAGACGTACAGTGCTCGCCGACTTGCCGTGTCTAAGGAGTCGCGCCACGCGAATCAATTAGGTGATTTGAGGCATTTGAGGGTCGGCTGCGGCCTCGCGTGACGGAACCTCGCTCGAGTCAACACTGATGCTCATGCCTACAATATTACCTACTTAGATACCTACCTACTTGCGTTTTTGAACACAATTATCTAAAAGGAGTAAGTAGTACTAACGTGGTTACTACATAATTAGTAACGAAATAAAAGTTTGTGGGTACTTACCAAAAATGGTTAGGTATTATTTTACTTATGTTCAATGAAAGTAGTATTTTATGAAGAAGCAGAAGTGCATCCTCTCTCTCGTATCTAGCCGATAGTCATTTGAGACCAGTTGCCAATTACCTAGACATGCACTCACCCTTTTTAGATTTAGGAACTTTAAGATAAAAATAAACCTGCCGGTAAATATTACATCAAACAACATACGAAATATGATTAATCATATCAAAATAATTTAGGCACTTAATGACATGAGAACATTAACCAAGTGCTTGATTAAAAACATTCGGTCCATAAAATAAGTACCAGTAATGAAGGAACCACTCAACCGCATTTAGGGACCCTCACGTCAAATAATTGAACCAAATTAATTTACCTTTATGAAGGGCAAATTGTTTTGGTGAATCCCCAATCAATTTAGTAAATTGATCAGTTTTATGACAGGGCGGCAAGCACGATAAAAAATTGGTTATGTACACAGATAACTATGTAGGTAGGTAGCTGTATTTGAGTACCTGTACCTAACCCTCTATAAAGGGCATAGGTAATTTGCTGTCAAACAAAACACATGGTTTCTAAGTATTACATTGTTGCCGTGCTTGTAGTTAATGCCAGTGTCGGTAAATAAGTAGGTAGGAACTTATACTCGACATGTAGGTAGATAGACACATACCCTAATATAGGTTAGTTATTGGACGTAATCGGATTGTTAAGCCTTTGACTGCCGACAGAAAACTGTTAAAGGCAAATCCTCCGCTAACGTAGGTCACCGGTGACCTACGTGGCGGTTAACGTGTTAAACACATAACATAACATCACGCCTTTTATCCCCGAAACGGTAGGCAGAGGTGCACACAGAAGTAACACCCACTTTTCACTATTTATGTTATAAGTCCCATGTAATAGGGGGTGAGCCTATTGCCATATACCGGGCACATTTCCAGACTCCGTGTTACTACTGAGAATTTTTATTAAAACCCAGTATTACTTTGCCCGACCCGGGAATCGAACCCGACACCCCTCGCCCGGCAGTCGTGTTAAACACCACTCTGATTATTTATCTAACGTTGCAGCACATAAATAGGTATCTAACGTTGTTCTATTAGGTATCCTACTAGTTCGAAGTTTAGGTGTCGTACCTGCCGACTGCTGACCATTTCTAATGTCTAATAATGTATTGTATTCTGAATCTGCTGTAGTTAAGTAAAAACTATGGGTGATGAACGATTAAAAAAAATGTAATAGGATATAAACTATTATTGACTGACGTCAACAGACACAATCGAATAGTTTGTTGATCGATTTCTGTAAGTAATTAAGGAGCACGACAGCGTCCCCAGCAAAGTTCAGTTTGACAATGCGTTTAGTTTAACCAAGTTGTAGGTACCTTGTTATTAAAACCTGGTTGACATAGGTAGGTACTTTCCTATTATTCTTTCAATGTGAAAAAAATAAATTTCTAACTACATAACTATATTTTATAACTGCACTTTTTTTAGGGTGGTAAATCATCGAATGACTGCTCCCGCCTGTGTGAGGCGGGAGGGAGTGTCAGACTCTTACTGACTAAAAACCACCCCGTTCCTTCTCCTGCACGTCGAGCCGGAGCCCCGGTTACCCGTTAGGTTTTCCGCGACTCCGATTTATAACTACACTGGCATATCTGCTGCGCAAACTAGCCGCCAATATGATAAAGTTTATATCAATTATTGGGAATTACAAAAAATGACAAATCAAGTCTGTATATAATTTTTATTATTTTCTACAATGGCTACAAATGTATAAAATATCAGTCATCTTAACATTAGCATTTATTTATTAAAAGAAAAGGTAATATAATATCATAGAAATGTCTAGCCGCTCATATACCAACTGATCAAATACAGAAATAATAGAAAAACATATATTCGAGTCCTCTTTAAAAAATAAATATGGTGATCGTTACTATGGCCAATTTATTTTTCTAATAAAAATGGTCTCTCGATTCGTGATGACGATTTTCATTTTAAAATCTTTGTAAGACGATTTTTACTCACTAATATTCAACCCGTCAGCAAAAAAGGTAAATCGACGATTGAAAGGCTAATTGATTAATACTTTAACTGCCAACTTTAAAACGATGAAAGTCAAACCTCCACTAGCGTCAGGCACCGGTGACTGACATGGCAGTCTAAGGGTTAACGGATGGTTTTCCACGACAGTATTGCTAGAGCAATTTTCACTAGTTACGTCATGAATCCCAAGTGATGTGAGATTACTTAATACCATAATTCCCAACATAAAAATTACTCCACAATAATGATCACATATTCACACAATATGTCACCTAATTACATTAATACAAAACATATTTTTTTAAATTATACCATTTATTTTATTATGCCTATGTTTTTCGCTTATTGCACAGTTTACATAATATATTAAAAATCGAAGCTATATTGTAAAAATTGAGTAAAATATTTCAGGCCATGCATATTTTTTATGACATTTTTTTATGTCGATTATAAATCTTTAATTGCTATCATATGTAATTGACCCTTCAATAATTAATGCAGTTGTAAAGCTATTATAGGTATAGATGTTACATTTATACATACTTTTTGTGAATAAGACTAGACTGAAATATCATTTTAAACACATTAAAGCTTCATAATAATGAAATTCAAATATTGGGAGCATTTTAGAAAGTTTCCTAGTACATTCTAAGCCCTTATTTATAAAATTGACAAGCTAATTTCCATTACATTGTTAGAGCATCCCATATTGCGTTAAAGGGTGAAATGCTTTAATATTTTCTTTATTTAAAATCCCTATTTATAAAATGCCATGATTATTTAAAAAATCTATATCAAGTACACCTTAAAACCCCCAGATTATATAAAAGAATGGATAAAATCGAGTCCAATTCAATTGTTTCTCTCTAAAAACTATCAACAGCTATGTCTCACATATTATACTTAAACACATAGATAATAATTTACTTTTTTTTCAATAAAATATACGTTGATAAATGACTTAAACAAATAACTATACTTAAAAACTAATGAGATACAAGCCAATACAATGTCGAGTATGCAAAATTTACAAATATAAATCTAATATACGTAAAATTCACTACATGTCTAAAGAATGAGAGATGTTTGTCTATTAGGCTCAGTTAGCCTGTCTGTGTCATTATTCAATTCTAGTTTTTATCTTCTTTCCAATTTATCAGCGTCAATACCAATCGCTATATTAGCCTGCTTTGTCTATCACAATATATATATATATTTTATTTAATAGATCCAAAAGCTCACAATTCCTAATCTACGAACATACTCAGTTAACACAGATCATTTATAATTTTATTGCTACCAAAGAAACTAAAGGCCACATTTTTTATATAATGCCATCTGTCGGATTACGGTGGAACTACAAACATCACGAGTTAGCTTACCTACGTAACGAAAACGTAGTGCGCACATCGCATGATCTTATTTCTACTTGATAGAATGATTCTCACTAACGATTTTCTAGAATATGGTAATCCAGCAACAAGCAGTTTCAAATATAAAATTTTTGGTCCAAAAAATGCTGCAGCACAGATGTAAATTGTCAAAGAAATATATAATTAAAATGTGTAACCCTCTACTTGGGTCTAGTCTGTAGTTGTAAGGCTGTCTACGGCCTCCATCAGGCTTGGCACTGAATCTACCTTCATTCCACGCCGACGAAGGTCATTCAGTTCCTCCACTAGCTTAGACTTATCCCGGCCGAGCGTCTCCCTGAAAACCCAAACAAAAAAATTATTATGTGCGATTTAATGGGTAAATTCGGTCAGTTATTATATGTAGTAGTAGATATTATGACATAATAACTAATTTTCGAAAATAGTCGTGGTTATAATAATCCATTTATATCCATCCAAGATGTTCAGATTTCGACTCACACATAAGTACAATCATTCTTATTTGATAATACAGAAATATTGGTATTGGTACTGTTTTTCTTTGCAGTCTTTGACAATTTATCCTTATTGGCATTATACATTACATGCTATGATATAAAATATAAATACATATACTGTAGCAAAATTTCTCAGTAGTAGCACGAAATCTAGAATTGTGTCCGCTATATGCCGAGAGGGATTACATGGGACTCATAACATTAATAGTGAATACATTGTACAGCGGCATATATAAATGACGCAATGTGCACCTCTGTCTACCCCTTTGGCGATATTGATGTTGTGTTTTATAATATGAAGTATTGTAGCTCACCAGAACATAGAATACTATCAGTTTAAAGATAATATATATTATTTACCTACTTGAAAAGTAATTGAATCAAGTATATTACTTATGCTATCCTTAAACAGTTCAATGAATTGAATTGCACTTATCAGTTGTTTACACGTAACTAATCAATCTTCCCATTGTTAAGTTTCATCACTCATTGCCCGTCTACAGACTATAGATAACAAAATTAGAGATCAAACGAATAAGTGAACAGAACAGAAGACAACTCGTTATTAATCCTTTTTTTATCTAACCTTGACAGTTCATAATATTTGCATAAAAAAATAATTGAAATAATACGATAAATTCGCTATAAAAAACAAAGTGCAAATTGAATCAATGATAAAATTATTATGACGCTTGTTTTTCCCCGCAAAACCGCTTTTATACAGTTACGACTATTAGTTGCGACATTACTATTAGTTTAACAGGGGTCAAAAGTGTAGCAAGAGTTAAAATAGGGAAGATTAGTAATTAGAGATTGCAAACCGGACCCGGCCGGGCCGGGCCATGTCCATGAAATCAACTAGCTTTGAAGCTGAAAGGGATTTTTCGGCGGCACGGTATATCTGCCCCGAGCGTAAGGCGCGTCGAGCCATCACATTATCACAAGCGGGTGAGCTGGGGACAACACGGGTTATCGGCTCCGGTTCAAAGTAGGAGTAGGAACGGGGTGGTTTTTAATCAGTAAGAGTCTGACAGTCTCGCCTCACCCAAGGCAGATGTCATTGGATGATTCCTTCCCCCCCCCCCCTCTTAAGAAAAAAGGATCTGCAGCAAGTTACGAACCAGTTTAAGTGGTAACTAACAATATAATTTGTTTTATAAAACCCTATGCAAGCATATTTTTTTTATAATGTACATTTTGTTAGTTAAGACTACACAAGTTTACAAAGTACTTTATGCTTTTTTCAAATAATGAGTAAAGAGAGATACTTGCTTATTTATAAACTTATAAAAATGAATAATTACTATAACTAATGTTACTGTATTAAATGTGATTTTGAGTGTTGAGTGAGACTGATTATTGTAACAATTATTTATTAGCAAACAATTGAAATAAATATTAACCTTGAATAATTTATTGACTTTTTCCATTAATATACCTCTATAAAAACTTTAAAGGCTTCATCACTAACATAAACCGAATTTGTCGAATTCGACCGGTCCAGGCCGGATTGAGAAACATACTGGGTTACAATCTATTACTCATACATTTTATAAGTATGATAAATAATAGTAGGTACATACTAACCAAATGGAAATACAAGTGTGGAGAAGTGGTACATATATGAGAAGCAAGTCTGAGTCACTGACTGCTTCATAACGTTTCAAAGCAAGTTGTGCCCAGCGCTCTACTGGTCCAGCGAGAGTGCCATCACTTGCCCCGGCGCAGGCCACGATACGGCACAAAGCGCCAAGTACCACACGCGATCTATCCGTATATACCTGGAAAATAATTGACACATCAAGCAACACTTATTTTTCTATTGTAGTATTATTAAAATATGAGTCTCAGACAATAGTTGCTGACAAAACATCAATACATTTTTTTATATACAATGTTTTAACTAATATTTGTGATCAATATCCATTACCTATTAGATTACAGTGCAAAAGTCATCTTAATATTTACAAATCCCAAGTAAATTACAACATACATACATATAGCAATAATTTTTTTTATGTGAGAATATCGTAAAAATACTTACCTTGTTTAATAATTTGAAACTCGTCTCCAACACTGAGAGTGCTTGGTCAAACTTGCCATCATTGATGAGTCTTTTAGCTTCAATTAGCTCAATGTCCTTGAAAAATGTGATAGCGGCCGGGGAGTCCCGGAGGCGGGATTCACTTGCTATCAAATCTAATAGTGACTCAAACGCTGCACATCGGGAGGAAATCAAGTTTGGATCAAAATTACCAACCACAATCTGAAATTAGTCAAATACTATTTATACTCTCTGACTAACGGATACAATTTTGTGTCAGACCAATACCAAAATATTTCTTACTTTAAATGACAAAGCTGTAAATGTAGTGATACTTATTACATTGTATAAATCTCTCATTTGTTACCAAGTATTTTACATACACAATCACATGACTTCTTTATTAGGAAATGGTATACAAAGTTGCTAATTAAATTGACCCAACTACCAATTACTGTTATTCAAATAAAAGTTCACCAATAACTATTTAGGGTAGTAGTGCGAAGTAACACAATAACATCACCGAATACGCCTACTTCACTAATTTCAAAGCGATACACATGACTCATAAATAAATTAAATAACAACGAATTACTCTTTTGTTTACGTACCTTTCTAGGGAATGAAATATTATTTAGCAAAGCTGGAAATTCCTTCTTCAAGCCGTTGTACAGGTCTAAGAAGTGAGTGTATCGCCTCTCAACGTTCGCGGGGTCTGGATCCAGCACCCTGGATTCAGTAGCCTGCCTTGCCTGCACCATATAAGCTACGAATTTCTTTTCATTTTCAAAACCTTCTACTGTTCTTGAAGAAACTATTTCAAACTTTAACATGATTATTCTTTCTTGTTCTTAAATAATATCAACTTATTTGAATTGTATGAGGAACTTTTAGTTTTTAATTTGAATGACAGAGTGTGAACAAAGAACAAAATATTGCACACACACAGTGAAATAAAATAGAAATAGAACTGCAAGGCAAGATACAGATTTGACGTTTATTTTTGACAGCAATAACATTTATTTGACGTCGTTTTGACAGTCATTAAGCACAGATTAATAATAATGCACGCGGTTGCCAAAAATGAAAAAATAAACAATAATGAATCTGTTGTAGATACTAATGAAGTAATGAGTTTCTTAAATAAACTAACTAACTTAAGCTAACACCGTATCTGCCGTATACGAGGCCCCTGGACTAAGAAGTAAGTCGAATTTAATAAAAACTTCCCAGTAATGACAAAAGTCACAATAAACAAAATTTTTCTCATCTATCGTAAGATATATGTAAGTAGGTACCTACTAAATTAACTAAAAATCGCGGGTTACTCACAGTCACACGAGTACTGCTCATGAGGAAGAGCCCCTCTATGGCTCGAAACTATAGAGTTTTTCTCAGTATATTCATGTGAGTAACCTGCGATTTTTAGTTAAACTTTTTCTCGCGTAAAGTATGCGTTCAAAGGTTGACAGAAACTTTTGAAAAACTTAAATAAAAGGTAATCATAGTCCGATAATTTGAGGAGTTGCCTGGAATTTTCGCACAAATTATTACTATTTTATGCATACGTAACTTTTTTTAAATATTATATTTTTCAAAAGCTTCACTGAGCACTGTCGTTACATATCGACGATTGCCGCGTCGTGGGTCGCGGAATGCTGCTCATGAATATGAGGCTCTAGCATGGCTTGAAACTATTCGAGTTCCTCGTTAAATAATTACGTGAATATGACGAAAAACATAATAATGAATTTAGTATGTCTCACGAAAGTTACAATATATATTTTTTATCTTTACCCTTTATAAGGGCCTCCAAACAATGTTTTGTACGGGTTCCCGCCAAGGCACACTACGCCACTGAGGACTGGTAAGTGGTCGGAGTTGGAGTTAACATCGAGACTCGACTAGAGTGTGCAGTTTGCTGATACTAGAGATGGGCACTGGGAAAAAACCCAATGGGAAAAAACCCAGGTTTTTTCCCATTTGGGAAAAAACCCGGTTTTTATGTGGGAAAAAACCGAATAGGCGGGTATTTTCATTTATAATGATCTTATTCTATTTTTATTTTCAGAACTAAATAAATAGGTACTTTGTGATGCGTATATACCTACATTCACTCAAAAAAGTATCGGGAATGGATGATTTAAGTAAAAACGCGGGTTACTCACGTGAATATACTGATATATTGATACTCATATCGTGAATATACTACGCGTTTTTACTTAATTTAGTATGTCTCACGATAGTTATTATAAAAACAATGGATGATTTGTTTATGGTTCCAAATTCAAATTTTTGTTTTTATGTAGTTGTTAGATTGGCACAACTGTTTTCCATTTTGGCGCGGAGTTTGAGTTGCATCTGTTATTTATATTAAATACAGCGCTGGTTTCAGAAATATCATATATAATGTATATTGTGAATTTCATAATGGACACAAATATCGATCAAAGAGTTTGTCTTAAATTTTGCATCGCCAATGGAATTTCGTGTTCGGAGTCACTAAAAATGTTACAGAAAGCTTACGGTGAATCGACTTTATCAAAAACTCGTGCTTATGAGTGGTTCAAAGCGTTCAAAAGCGGTCGAGATGTGATGGAAGATTTGCCTCGCTCTGGTCTGCAACTGTAGTTAACATCGCAAAAGTGAAGGAAATAGTGACTGAAAATCCCCATTCAACTCTGAGAGAGATAGCCGCCGAACTTTCTGTATCTCACGAGTCGATCCGTACCATTTTAACTAATCTATACTATACATTAAAGGGTATGAAACATGTTGCTGCTCGACTAGTTCCAAAAGATCTAAATTTTCTCCAAAATCTCAATCGCATGAAAGTCGCTGAGGATATGCTAGAACGAGTCAGTTTGGACCCAACATTCATGAAACGCATTGTTACTGGTGACGAGACGTGGGTTTATGAGTTTGGCATGCAAACTAGTCAACAAGCTTCGGAGTGGCGCCTTCCAACTGAACCGAAACCGAAAAAACCACGCCAAAGTCGATCAAAAGTCAAAGTCATGTTGACTGTTTTCTTTGACTATCGTGCTGTTGTGCACTCTGAATTCTTACCCGAAGATCTAACGGTAAATAAAGAATATTATTTGAGCTTTATGCGGCGTTGAAGAGCAAATTCTACGAAAAAGGCCAGATTTGTGGAAAGAAAATTCTTGGATTTTGCACCACGAGAAAGCGCCTTCGCACAAGGCTATCATTGGTGGCATATAGGTGAACGAATTTTTGACCAAACACTCAACAAATACCATCCAGCAACCACCATATTCACCAGATATGGCTCCTACTGACATTTTTCTTTTCCCTAAACTCAAATTACCACTTCGTGGCACCCGTTTTCAATCGATAGAAGACGTAAAGGAGAATTCGTGGCGAGAACTAAACTCAATTCTGGAAGCAGCGTTTAAAAAATGTTTTGATGAATAGATTATTCGTTGGCGCAAGTGTATCGTCTCTAAAGGAGCATATTTTAACTCGTTGAGTACCGTCATTACAGACAATTAAAGAACAATAGGTTGCGGTCACCGGTGACAGTTTAAAGGTGATAAAATAAATTTGGATGAATAACAGACATTTTTGTATTATTGATCTTTTCCCGGTACTTTCTTGACAGAGTAGTACTTAGCACCAGCGTGTATAAGGCACTAGCTGTTGTCTGTTATTTGAAACGTGTAGTCTTTTTCAAGGACTAAAACATAACCAGCATATTTATTATAACACCATAAAGACGTCTTCTTGTTTTATAATAAGTTTTTACTGCGCTCTGTGATGGAATGTTAACAGCAGAAAAAATACCTATTAAACTTTAAAGAATGTTTGACTAAAATAATATAATTAAAACAACGAGAGATACTCTTACTAACAATCATTTATTATACTTTACAAAAGTTACAAAACTGTAAATTTACCGGTAAATTTCGTTCGTAAAAAAAGTAGGTATCAAAGTCCGTAAGAGTAGCAGTTGTTGTCAATTCAAAGGATTAGGTAACCAAAAGTCCACCAAACAAAATCCAAGTCGTCAATTAAACCAACAAATTAACACGAGTGCGCACAGTATGAAGCCGAAACAACGTGTGAGATAGATAGATCACCAACGCGCTCGCCCCTCT